AAAAAAAAGAGCAATTCTGACCGCCCGTGAAGCAGTTTGGACTCATCGAGAAGTCATCAATTGCAAAGCTTATCGATGAATCAAATATTCTGCTGACACCCATCTTGAGGTAGTACTCACTTTTCTAAAAGAGAACCTTTAAGATAGAACTTTACCAGGAATAATTCAAAATTGTTAAATTGCGCTCTGAAAACGCTGAAAGCTTGCGGTTAAAGTTTAAAAGAGAACATACCTGTTCCGGCAAATCCACCGATACTTTCAGCCATTCACAATAGTAGCTTTGGTCACCAAGCGGCGTAGTTGGCGGTGCCCAAATGATTTTGGCCGGCTGCCCATTCAACGGATGCACTGTCAACTGCAGTGTTGAAATAGCACTTCCATATGAGCAGTAGTAGAAACGAATCTGAATTTCATCACAAATGAAAATGCAAAATTCTCGGAACTTCAAGTGTATTTCCATTAAAAATAGCTCTGCAAGCACAGCAGCTGAAGAAAGCGGCTTCGCTTCTCTTCTAACAATTAGCATTTGTCAAAACGCCGGATTAAAGGCCAGTCGAAGTGAACTGACGAGATAAAGCAAAGCAGCATCGAATATAGATTGAAGGTACTACGCCGGAAAGAGCCACAGTGGTTGCTAAAACCAGGCGAAAATGCGAGTGAAAAAAAAGGTCATTTTATCAAAAGTACTATTTTGACCAATGCTTGCCTCATTTCTCTGGAATTTCTATTTTAACGTTGGGCATGTACTAATTTGAAATATACCTTGCATGAGCCAGATGCGGGAGCGGCTGGATCATATAAAATCGGATTAGTGGGTGGAAAATACGGTGACACAAAATAAGTGGACTTCGTATCCGTAAAACTGTTTCGATCACGCTCACCTTCAGAAGTGAAGAACAAGAAGTGGCCTGAAATTTTAAAGAATACAAAATGAAGCAGAAAAACCAGTAGAATTAAAAAGATTGAGAAATCAGAAAGTGAAACTGCGACAAACCGCTGCTGTTGAAGTGCTGAAAGGTGTGGTCTCTAAGAGGGACGTGCTTCGGTGAGGAGTATCGTGACGCACTGCTCGAATTAAGCCTCATGAAAAGATGACCATCCTCATCAACTCGCCGACCATTGTGGACATAGTATGTTTCAAATCTCCACCCTGTACATCCCGTTCTTGCAGTGTCTTCGTCTTCGAATGTACAACGACCACCAACTGGTGTTGCTGCTGAAATAAAAACAGTCCGTATTCTTCCTGCGCCCAGTTTTCACTAGTGATTGAGAAATTTGATTCGAAATTATAAACAAACTTTCAGTCATACTTTTTGCTCGATAATTACTTTTCCATGAGCAAAAGCAAAATGCTCGAATGACGAATTTCTAAAATCAATGTCGGTTCCTGATCGCAGCTTCAAAAAAGTTAGCAGCTCTATTCTACCAGTGAGAAAGGTAGCCTCCCTACAAATAGTTTATTCTCTTCAGCGGTAATTTGCACTACTTAAGAATTTTATCCGAAGTAGCACCGCCATTATTTCCCTTCTAAGTGACCAAAGAAGAGACGATGTGCCAACACTGCACCCAGTGCTAAGTACTTTTGCCCTACAGCGCCAGATGAAGCGTAAAGAACAAAAACATCCACAGACATATTTTCACCAGTTCTTTCATCAAAGCTTCAAAAAATTTTTTTGAAGTGTGCCAATTTTAAAACGTACTGCAATTATGCAAATCTGTTTCTTCGTCCTCAGCGCCCGGACAATCGATGGTCATATCGCAAAGTTGATCGTAGTCGATACATTTGCGATGGCCGTACTTATGGCACAAGTATTTCTTTGTTTGATTCGACTGACAAACATTCTCGTACCATACTTCTTCTGCAACATTTTATCATCATTTGACTGAATTTGAAGCAACGCGTGTTTTCTAACAAACTACACATTATGGGGGGTCGTGTCTATGCAGTGTATACCCGTGTGTATTTACGTAAGTTGGGGCATTTGTTGCTTAAACAGCTCTGCTCCGGATAGCAGAAGTTACGAGAGATTAATTTTTTGAAAGTTTGGATCTTAACCATAAACGAGTCTACGAGTTTACACCGATCTCTCAGTGTTCTAACCCACGATATAAAACAAACCCAGGCTGGAACGCACAAGGCAAGCCAGTGCGATCATGTGTTTTTGCACCAAATTTGAACTAATTAGGTTAGCTGCATGGATGGTTGTTTCTTCACACCTACCTCGTGCGCTCAAAACCGCAAATCATCGTAAATTTTGCATAAACGAAAATAAACAATTTTCGTACAGCGGTCGTTTTTTAAAAAGACTTAGCTACACAATGAGAAATTTTCCTGCCAAAAAGTGAAGTGCCCGTACACGAGAACCACGCGTACCTGGAGGCTGAATTTGAAATCTTTAAGCTGCATTTCAACGGGAAATATTCCCCTAAAATCTCAGCTTTAGCCAGCTCTTCTGCTTCCGAGTTAGCAATTTTTCAGCCAAAACTTTCACGGGGCCGCATATGATCTGCGGGCATTCCTGGGAGCTGGGTTTGAAATCACTACGTTGCACGACGGTTTTGAACATCCTCTTGAAATTTCAGCCTCCTAACTTTCTTGGTTCCCAAGTTAGCCGCTTTCCCCCTAAAAAATTTCATGGGGCCGTACGTGGGAACCACACATGCCTGGGGGCTGGATTTGATAACTTTGAGTTGAGCATGGGCGGGGAACATTCTCTTAAAATTTCAGCCTCCCGGCTTCCCTGGTTCCAAAGTTAACGATTTTCATGCCAGGAAACCTCATGGGGCCGTACGCAGGAACCACGCACACCTCAGGGCTGAATTTGAAATCTTTGAGTTACATGTGGACGGGGAACATAACTTCAAAATTTCAACTTTCTATCTTTTCTCGTTCCCGAGTTAGCAATTTTCCCGTCAAAACTTCCACGCGCTGGCACACGGGAACCAGACGTGTGTGAACGATAGCACCCGGCCCTAAGGTGGCATTTGACCGTTTGAAACCATCTCGCAAAATTTTGGCGCTGGAGCCTGCTTGGCTGCCGAGTTGAAATACCCGGAGAGACAAAAACACA